ACTTTTTTTTTTTTTTTTTTTTTTTTTTTTTTTTTTAAATATAAATTTTAATATGAAAACTCAGGTTTAATTTATTTAATTAAACGTTGAGAAAAATTTTATTTGTTTATATTATTATTATTATTATTATTATTTTATAAGGAATCCCATTTAAAAAAAAAATAATTTGATTTATTTTACCGAAAAAGTAAATAAATAAAAAATTTTTTTTTTCATTTTTGAAAAGGGGAAAATTTTATAAATTTATTATTATTATTATTATTATTATTATTAAAAATGTTGATTATTAATAAGTTTTATTTATTTATTTTTTTTTTTTATTCGTATTAATATAGTTTATGAAATGATAAAACGCACAAGAAAACGCGATATTTGACACGAAAATAAAAAAAAAAAAAAAAAAATTAATAGATTTTTATGTTGTTAATAAGTCAATTTATTTTTTAATAATTTTTCTCCATTAAATAATTATCATTATTAAAAAAAATCTTATTTAAATAAAAAAAAATTAAATTATACATAAAATCAATAATATTGTTTAAATCCCCCCCAAAAAAAAAAAAAAAAAAATGTATTCAGGTAAAAATAAATATTATGTATTTTTCAAATTTTTTTTATTTTAATTTATTTTTTAATAAAAATTTATGTACTTATTAATAACACCGACAGAAAATTTTTTTTAAAAATATAAATACAACGATTTTAAACAAGGATAAAAATATAAAGATTAATAGGATAATGAAAAAAAATCGAAATTTTATTTTAAAAAAAAAAAAAAACCGTTTTATTTATTTATTAATAATAATAATAATAATATTTTTTTAAGGATTTTTCCATTAATTAATTAATTCCTTAATAAAATATTATTTAATATTTTTCTAAACCACATTTATTATATACGTTTTTTTTTTCATACACGTGAAAACTAAATTTTTATTTTGCATAAATAATTATTATTATTTATTTATTTATTCTAAGGCAAGAAAAAATTATTAATAAATAATTACTAATAAACAATTTTTTTTTTTGTTTAAATTAAAAAAAAAAAAATAAGCAAAGTAATTAAATTATTTATTTATGTACTATTACTTTTGCCATAAATATACAATTGTGAAAAAAAAAAAATGAATGTTTGCATATAAATAAACATTAATTATTATTATTATTAAACTATAATGATAATAAAATGTATTAATAATAATAATAATAATTTAATTAAGAAACATAATAGTTTGTTGGAAATTAATAAATTTAAATAAATAATAATAATATTTTTTTTAAATGGGGGGGGCACCAAAAAAAAATTCTGAAGAATGCATACATTTATTTATTTAGAGTCACACTAAAAAAAAAAAATAAATAAATTTTTATTATGTATTTCACACACTTAAAAAAATTGTCCGATAAAATAAAATTTTATGTATTTAATC